GCGTCGTCGCCGGGCGGAGCGTAGTAGGTGAACAAGAGCGTGTTGTTCACCCAGACGGCCAAAGTCTGGGAGCGTCCGCGAACTTCACTCCCAGCAGGTTTTTGTGGAAGGGCCTTAGGCACGAGCCAATCGACGCCTCCTTCAGCCACCTCGTGCCCCCACCGTCCAACGTGGGTGCCCCCAGGCTGTGCGTAGAGGTTCCAGCCAACCTTAGAGGCCTGGCGCCTAAACCCCTGCACCTCAGTAGGCAGCATGCTGAACTCCTGTAGGGCAAGAACAGGTAAGGTTTTGCAGTGTTGGAAGTGGTGCATGGCACGCCAGGCACCCGGAGCACCACCGCAGTTAAGACTCAGAAGCTGCAGACTGCCAGTCGGGCCTGGGAGACTGGCCTCTCCAACTCGGACGCCTCGGAAGCCCCCCAGTCTAGAGAGGCCCTGCAGCTCTGCTTCTTCAAGCAAAGTTTGCTGGGCCAGGCTTGCTTTCGGAAGCAAGCCCAGCACCTGGCGTCAGGCTTCGTGTGAGGGCCGTTGGCCCCGAGACCTGCCTGCAGCAGAAGCAACGCGGGGCTTCTTACTGCCGTCCTTAGTTCCCTGAGGAGCGCGCTTCTTTTTGGGCTTAACGGCCTTCCATTTCCGGGCAGGCTCAGCCACTTCACACCGCAAAAGAGGCTGCTTACCGTGCTTACGGTACCGAGGCTTCAGCCCTTCCTTGGCGCGCAGACGTGCCCAGGCTAAGGAGCGCTCAGTGTGTGGCTCAAGGAGAAAACAAGCCTTATCCATGGCAAACATGCTACGTCCTACAGCTTTACAAACTGCGGCAGCATATTGAGGTTCGTTTGCCTTCAAGCGGGCCCACCAACACCGTCGCATGCGCTGTGCGTGTGCATTGGTGCGCAGTCTGTGGACGCACTCGTTGCATCCTAGGCCACCAGCACCTTTTTTAAGTCTGAGCTGTGTGAGGCAGACCGAACAGTAGTGGTGGCTACCTCTCATCCCCCGTGCATTGCGTTCAACGGGCCAGACTTCAACGATGGTGTGCGTAGCGAAATGAGCCTCACGTTCGGCAGCGAACTTAGCGTGATTGGCCTTTTTCACCCCATCCTTACGATGTTTCTGTCCCCGCCTGCGTTTGGCGTCCAAAGTCTTGGGGGTTTCACTTGGGTGCTCCTGAGCAACGTGAGCCTTGATCGATCTTTTCTTGTCCTGTGCCGAAAGGCACGGCAGCCCCTTGAAGCAAAGGGGACATTCCCAATCCCGTTCAGCCTGAGGCAAACTTGCACTCGGTGTGAAAACTGAGCCTTTCTGCCTAAAGACCACAGTAGTGACGTCAAACGTCGGATGACGGCTGCGAAGATGATGTTTCTTCATAGCCGAGAGGGACGAGGAAGAGACTGCTTTACGGTATACCCTAAGGCATATATCTTGTTGAAGTGACCGTCGAACGGTATGTAAGGCAGGATAGGGCCTGGGTCTCTTTCAAACCTCTGGATGTACGAACCCTCAACTCAACCCCATAATCTGCGCAACCCCAGCCCAAAACCCAAGCTTCCCTCAACCGGTGAAGGCTTAACACCCCACTCGCCGTCGCCTGAGCCCCGGCAGTCGGGTCAAGAGCAAACTCACTTTTTCCTACATGGGGGCTGCTTGGAATCCGTGAGATATGTGCCTTTATGAATGGAATAGGATGTGGCAGACATTCAGTATCGCTAAACAAAGGAAACCTAAACAATAGTATATACTGCAAATAAATCCGACCCCATACATGAGAGGCCCATGAAAGATACGATCGACACAAGCCCGCCAAGAAAGTCCACAGGGCCACGAAAAAACCGCTAAATGGGGGGGTTTCCGAAAACAGGGGGCCCTAATACAGTACCCTTAATAACAGGATCCTTACTATAAGGACCCCAAAACAAGGTACCCCTAATTTTCGGAAAGTCCTAAATCCCTAAAACCCGAAATCTAGACCCTGGTTCCAGACATCGAGTGCAAGGGAGGCTTTCCTTAACCCAAAAATACCCTATATAACCCTTATATAGCCCTTATAATAGTCTCATAAAGCCCCTATGTAGCCCTAAGTGTCCCTTTAAGTAGGGTTTAGGGTTTAGGGGTTAGGGGTTTAGGGTTTAGGGTTTAGGGTTTAGTTATTAAGGGTCCCTCCTTTAGTCCCTTGATATCCACTGGAAGCCTCACAGTCCCACGACTCAGGGCCTATACTTGGTTCCCTTGCAGCCTGAAGCCCGAGAAACACCCTAATATAGGGGCCTAAAAAATTACCTATACTCTTTTGGGCTCCTATTCTGATGATAGTATCATGGGCCCCAAAACCCTAGACTCTAATTATGAAGGCCCTATTAAACCCTAAACCCCAAACCGTCAGAAACCAACGAGGTCGAAGATGTTGGGCTATGTACGGTTCTTGGAGCCCTGAATTCCTAAACCCACAGCGGGCTTTGGAAAGCCCGAGAATCCTCGCCCTGAACCTTGAGCTTTAGGGTTTAGAGTCCAAGGCATAACCCCAAAGCCTAAACCCTTCTATAGGTACTTTGGGGCCGAAGTATATACGAGTTGGGCACTTGGACCCTTAGGGTTGTGGATTCGGGGCTTCACCAAACCTCTGAAACGGCTCAGCGCCCGTGGCCAGGATGCCAATCCAAGCACGGCGTTGGCTGCCTCCAGGGTTGAAGTGGGTCAACAGAGGGATTTGGGGGTTCAGGGTTTAGGGTTAAGGGTTTCGGTTTAGGGTTTAGGGTTTAGGGTTTAGGGTTTAGGGTTTCGGGTTGCATGCAACTCACGGGACTTATCGTGTCGGGGCAGATGAGCAAGAATCGGAGCAGTTCTCACGAGCCTCGCGGCACCTATGAAGGAAAGGGTTTACGTGCTTCTACTTGGACGCGCTGCGCTTCACTACATCTTCGGGGGGATATGTCATATATAAGCTTAGTTGAATCCCCAAAACAGGGTTTGGGCAAATGGTACGAGAGGTCTTCTACAGCAATCTCCGGCTGTGATTGGGCTTGAGCGTGTGTTTTGCGCGGTGGCTGCGAACTCAGACACTACGTACAACCTTACAGAAAAACCTTACATCCTTGAAACTCCACACCCTGAACGCCAAAGCCCAAACCCTAAACCGTTAACCCTAAACCGGTCTCTCTCTTTTTTCGTGGGCCAGCCTGCACCTACACCCCAAACCCAATTCTTCAGAAGCCCCGAGGCCCGGGTCTTGCAGATGCTCGTAGTGGTAATATTCGTCTAAACTACCATAGTAACCGACTTTCTGTAGGGCATCATTCTAAACCCTGATACGGAAACTCTACAAACAATGAGTTTTGGTGGGTTGAAGGGACTCCAGAGCCCTGAAGCACTCTCAAACTTAATGGTCAAGTCCGGCCATTCCTTCAGGCAGAATTCGGAAATTAGGTTTAGGGTTTAGGGAAGGAGCTGTGAGACTGTGTAGATTCTGCGCACAACAACTGGCATGACAGGGTGACGAGCTGTTTCCTCCTTAAGCCCTAAATGCCTAGACCCTATAGACCGAAAGCCCTAAGCCCCCAAATTACCAAACACCAAACCCCTACCTAGAACCCCCAGACCCTAAACCCCAAGCCCCTAAATTAAAGAACACTAAACCCCTGGACCCCTAAACCCGAAGCCCCTAAATTACCAAACACTATAAACCCCGACCTAGAACCCCAGACCCCAAACCCGAAGCCCCTAAATTCCCAGACGCTAAACCCCTGGACCCCTAAACCCTAAACCCTCAGCCCCGAAATTACCAAACACTAAACCCCCCTAAACCCTAAACCCTAAACCCTAAACCCTAAACCCTAGACCCTAAGCCCTAAACCCTGAGCCTCTAAATCCTCAACTTCCCAGAGAGCCCAATACCCAATTAACTAGGGAATAGACCTTAAGGGGCTTCATATTATGATTGAAGCTATATTACCCTAAACCCTAAACCCTAAACCCTAAACCCTAAACTATATTCCTTATTTAAGGGGTATTGTGCTCTCTGGGTCCCCTCTTCAGGAGAACTGGGGTCCCAAGGCCCCTAAACCCTAAACCCTAAACCCTAAGCCCTAAGCCCTAGAAACCCTAAGCCCTAAGCCCTATACACCCTAAGCCCTAAACCCTAAACCCTAAACTCTAAGCCCTATATATAAACCCTAAGCCCTAAACCCTAAGCCCTAAGCCCTAAACCCTAAACCCTAATAATTATACGCCCTATAAGCCTCAACTTCCCTCTTCAGCAGAACTGGGGTCCCAAGGCGCCTCGCGGCTGAGTTCTGCGCCTTGCGCCTGGCTCCGCAGGTTCAGGGCCGAAAGTAGGGTTTAGGGTTTCTAGGGCTTAGGGTTTAGAGTTTAGGGTTTAGGGCTTAGGGTTTTGGGTTTAATTAGGGCTTATAGGGCTTATCATTACTAGGGTTTAGGGCTTAGGGTTAATAGGGCTTAGGGCTTAGAGTTTAGGGTTTAGGGCTTATAATTATTAGGGTTTAGGGTTTAGGGCTTAGGGTTTATAGGGCTTAGGGTTTAGGGCTTATAGGGCTTATCATTATTAGGGTTTAGGGCTTAGGGTTTAGGGTTTAGGGCTTATAGGGCTTATCATGGTTACGGTTTAGGGCTTAGGGTTTATAGGGCTTAGGGCTTAGGGTTTAGGGCTTACAGGGCTTATGATTATTAGGGTTTAGAGTTTAGGGTTTAGGGCTTAGGGTTTATAGGGCTTAGGGTTTAGAGTTCAGGGTTTAGGGCTTAGGGCTTAAAGGGCTTCGGGTTTAGGAGTTTAGGGTTTAGGATCGCGGGTCCACGGTCAGGGTGTCGGGTTTGGGGTTTCTGCTTGTTTCGGGGATTGGAGGGTTCGGGATCTGGGGTCCAGCGCATGGGTTTAAGCTTTGCGGCTCAGGCCTCACACCCCAGACAAATAAGTCCCGAAATCATGTAGGGAACTTATCAGTTTTAATCTGGCTTCGCAGTATAGTGTGCATATTGCTCCACAACCCTCGGGGAGATTTCAGGCAAAGTGTTCCGATCCCGATATTACGGTTCAACTGCCGGCCTCGCTCCATATGGGGGTTTCCGAAGATAGGGGACCCTAATATAGTACCCTAAATAGTAGGATCCTTATCATAGACCCCCAAAAAGGTACTCCTTATTTTCGGAAACTCCCATATACATCCCCAAAATTGGCAATGACAAATTACCCTGCGGCTCCAAGTATACAAATAGTACCTACTTTGGTGTCTAAAGTCTGTAAATAGCACCTACATGGGGCTATTTGGAGCCCCAGGGTTATGAAATGATGACAGGATTATTCTTCCTTGGTAAACTCTCTGAACTTCTAAAACGTCCTGCGAAACCCTTTTCCAGCTGCTAAGGCTCCTATACAGGTAGTTGTCAAAATTATGGTCCCTTTTGGGGTACCCTAAATAATAGGTGCCGTATTATAATAAGGACCCAAAAAGGGACCCTAATTTTGACAACCACCCATATATTACACAAGACATCCCCGCCTAGTATCCAAGTTGATGTGTGGCTACCGGTACCAGTGGTCTTAGGTCTTGAGTCTTGAACCAATACGCTATGCAATGGAATGTTTAGCTGGCTAAGAGCACGGCTTTCCACGATTTCGAGTTCTTAGCACATTTGAAGAGTCAACGATCCTACGGTTTTGAATGGCCGGATGCGAACTTGGATTACAAGGCCGAGAACTCTCTGCTTGGGAGGAGAAGCAGGCTTGTATAGAGGACTCAGCTCCACAACACCCCGAGTCCAAGAAACACCCGGCCTACTTCAGCTCTGATTGGGGACTTTGCGGGCGCCAGCCAAGACACAATCTCTAAATCCTAGACCCCAAACCCTGGGATCTTCGCGAGCCAAGGAGTACAGCCCAAAAAAACAAGATCCAAAAAACAAAGCAGAAGCCCAGTACTCCGGAACCCTGGGAGCAAGCAGCGGCAGAAGCACCCGGAGCTTACAGATCAAGCTCTCCACCATCTTCACGGCCTGGAAAAGCTGCAAGGGTTTAGGGTTTTAGGGTTTAGGGTTTTAGGGTTTTAGGTTTTAGGGTTTAGGGTTTAGGGTTCCTGAACAATGAGAACAGGGTCTTGAACTTGAATTTTGGGTTAACTAGAACATCACACACTACAAATATGGGGAGACTGCAAGGCAGTAGAAGCCCAAAAGTTGGAAGCCCAATAGCCTCAATCCTTAAGAGTAATGTATAGGGAATCCCAGCACTAATTGTCCTTAATCCGGTTTCCAACTTATGGGGTTTACTATATTATTCATGGAAAAATGACAAGATCTTAACCATGCATGCCAGTCCTGCAAATCCCTAGCGTAGGGTTGAGGATCGAGGGTTCGGCCGCAAGCGCTTCTAGAAAAGCTTGCCCTAGAAAGCCCCAAACCTTTCCACTCATCCTGCAGACTTTTTAAATTTAGAACCTGGCCTAAACCCTGCATGCTCCACCTACAACCCCATAAACCCACGACCCTAAACCCCCAAACCCCGAAAC